TATGTTCTAATTTGGAGTTTACAATTTTGAAGAGATTTTAATGTATTTTATGAATATGTAAGTTTTAATTATTAAAATTTTAATTAATTATCCATACGGAGGGTTGACTTTTATTATTGCTTGAAGGGAGTAATAATAAAAGCAAATTTTAATTGCAAAAGAAATTGGGACGGAGGGAGTAAAATATACGGAGTATATAACACTCCCATGATACATCAGCCTGCACAGCGGTGGAACTATAGAATAATTTAAGCGGGGGCACAATCACATAAACGGGAAAACTTACCGGAGGGCGGGACGGGCACGACCATACGGTAGTCAACGAGCTGGCTCCGGTAGCCTTGGCAGCTTGCGATCTGGTGCATGTGGTGGCTTGGCTCTACTGCTTGACTGCTTGCTTGCTTGCTTGCGCATTGCGGGGAGTTCTGGGAGATTTCTCGATTAGCGATGCGACATTTCACGTCATCCAATTTTTATACTCAATCTGCCCCATTTTATTAAGCTAAATTTAACTTTTCAAATTAATGATGTATAACTTTGACCAATTATATATTTACACACATAGGTATTGATAATATACAAATGATATAAAAATGTTCTTAATAACCAACTTATACAAGTATAAAGTTATTAACTTTTACATAGAAATATTAGTTAAAATAATTAATCGCAATTTATATTCTTTAAGTATAAAAGTCAAAGATGATTAAGGGAGTGTTTGCAAACACTTTAAAAAAGTATTTCTCGACTTTTGGCTTAAAAAAGCTAAAAAGATTGTTTTCAAGTATAACTTCTACTTAAAAAAACGTTTTTCGGGCTTTTGGCTGAAAAGTGCATTTTACTTTTTCTATTACAAAAAAGCACTTATTTTACCAAACAATACGGACTTTTACTTTTCAAAATCATTATTTTCTCAAACACTATCAACTTTTACCAACATCATTTAAGAAAGTGTTTTTTAAGCAAAAACATTTGCAAACACTCGCTAAATAAGAAGGGATGGAAGTAGTGTAATTTTGTATACAATTTTTTAATCAAAATTCATGTTCACTAAAGAAGAATAAAAAATGATGTTTGTACCCACTCTTATACCCACCTTTGTACCCACCTATGTTTGTGAAGTGTTTTTTTGTCTTCGAATCCCAGTTCATAGACAATATTTTGCACAAACAAAATATTGTGGGAAAAAAAAAACTTCACAAACATTGTGGATATAAGGTGTGTATAAGAGTAGGTGCATCAAGGAATTCGTTTTAGGTTTTAACCGAATCCCAATTCAATAAGCTTACAAATAGCTGCGAACAAAATTTCATTCTGAACGGCCGTACTGCCTAGGCTGATTTTTTTTCTTTCGTGGCCTTCCATATGGCATACGAACGACGTCGTCCAACTCAAACAGAAAAACACAGCCCCAATCCAATCGAGGATTGCCCTGTCGAGGTAACTCGAGGCCACCAACCCTCCAGCCAGAAATTTTACCAGTCCGGCGGCTCCCCAACGGTCAAAGAGGAAATTACCAAAATGCGAGACTTTTTGGTCTGCCATGCCAAAATATGAGAACACCAAAATATCCAAATTGGGTGTTGCCACTAAGAGCTAGGCTTAGATTTTCGTGGAACACACCTCCTGTCGGAATTGGCAAATCCGACTGGGGAACCTATTTTTTTTCTTTTTTTAAGAAATTATACATCCCGCAATGAATTAAAAGCAAAAAACATATAATTCCATTTTACTTCTGTCCGAATTCCTAAATCCGACAATAAGAACGCCTATGTTTTTTTAGAAATCATACTTCCCACAATGAATTAAAATCTAAAAAATACATGCACCAATTAGAGTAAAAGCCAAAAATCCAAATCGAGGTATATACGTGTTCAATTTCTTTAGATAAATTTCTTCACATAAATTTAATCAGATAAGTTTGTTCAGATAAATTTAATCAGATAAATGTAATAAGATAAATTTAATCAAATAAAATTTTATACAGATAAATCTAATCAGATAAATTTAATCAGATCAGATAAGTTTCTTCAGATAAATTTAATCAGATAAATTTAATCAGATAAATTTAATCAGATAAATTTAATCAGATAATTGTAATCAGATAAATTTCTTCAGATAAATGTAATCAGATAAATCGAATGAGATAAATTAAAAGAGAAATTTAGTAAATCAGAAAAATTTCTTCAGATAAATTTAACCAGATAAATTTTAACCAGATAAATTTCGCACCAAGATTTCTCATTTTTTGAACCACCACCGAATTATGGTTCGTATCAGTACTCTACACAGTCGGATGCATATTTTGCCACTTATGAAGACACAACGAGGTTTTGGAACACTGGCGACGGGGACATGCCAGGACCGAGAATGCAACGTTAGATTTAGTATTAAATTTGTTATTGTATGTACATATTTATTTAGTAGTAATAAATTACATTAAAAACAACATTTGTTTTGTTCACTTCCATTAAAATTACAAATGTTGCATTTTAAACAAAATCAAATTTATATTTCATTTTATGATTTTATTTCACAATACAGATGATGAATTAAAACATGAAATAAAGTAACCAATGTTTTGTTATTCAATAAATCAAACATTGTATTTTTCATTTTCAAATATATCATGGTATTACTTTTACAATTTAGAAGAAGAAATAAATAACCTTTCAAAAGTACAAATAAATAAATAAACTTGCACTCTAAAATCATAAATGGCCTTATAAAAAAGCTAGCCTTCATGGTCGGAACACCCAAATCCGACTCCGCCTTTCTTGGATAACCTAGTTTTTTTCCGTAATTTGGCAACGAATGTTAACTTTTCCCGTATATTGGGAAACCACCCACGGTCAAACCCTTCTGCACTTCCCATACCTTAATACCTATTTATGACTAAAATAGGGGCACCGGCCCCCCTTGCATATTAAAAGATAATTACATATTTATGACTAAAATAAAAATTTCTCAAAATATGTAGCATTTTAACTGTAGTGACTATAATAGTAAGAACTGATTACTATTATAGTGGTTTTAAAATTGTCAAAATATGTGTGTTTTTTGTGATTGGCCAAAAAAACCTGCCACTGCCACCGCCAACCTCTGGCCCCTGCCGGCTGTCAGACTGATTCCGGGCGCCGTCCTTTGGGCGCTGACGCCGCAAAAGCTCCGGTTGGGCTAAAAAAACTAAGGTTTTTTTGCCCCAGTTCGTTTGCCTCCGCCGGTCGTCGGAGCACCACCACCACCACCGAACTGCCCCGCCACCAACGAATTGCCCCCGCCACCAACGAACTGCCTTAGTTGATAGAGGAGACTGGGGGCAATTAATTTATTAGATTAGGGGTATTTGAGTTAGAAATTTAAATTATATTCCTGTTTAAGGAAGATTAGAGATTAACTCCTATTTAGGGAACATTTTTTTGAAAATATTTACGGAACATTTTACGTTTTGCTCCTATTTAAGTCAATTACTTTAATAGTAACTTTAATTCGAGAAATGTATATTCAATATTTACACTTAAGTTACCATGATTTTACACTCCTAACTTAGTAACTTTAGTCAAATTTTTGTAAATAAATTTTGTTGTAGTAATATGTATATGTTTGATAAATCTCTAATAGTAATCATATTGAGAAATCTAAAATAGGACAAGCAAAACATGTTTGTTACTGTCATGTTTGTTTTTTATTTCCCTAAATAAGAGTAAATATGTTTGTCAATTTCAAAATAGAACTATCATATTTTTATTCTTTAAATAGAACTAATTATTTTCATGTTTTCGCACTAACAGAGTTTAAACATGACATTATTTTTAAAACTTGACACTAATTACTTCTATTTAGAGTATAGAGATATGAAAATACTATTTTGAAATTCTCAAACGTTTTTATATTAGTCTTATTTCAAAAAACTTCCATTGAAAGAATAGAATATAAAAAACATTCTAATATAGGAGTGGATGAGTCTCATTTTTGAAAGAAACAAAGACATTCCTATTTAAGGACTTATGTTATGTTTTGTTTTATTCCTATATATAAAGAATCTTTTTCTTTTGACATAGAACATAAATAAATAGATAACAACGAATAAACTTACTGAACTTACTCAACTTCGATGATTATGGGAGGTAAAGGGGAGCATATAATTGTAGAAGCGATATATCACTCATTTATGGAGTCATATTCATTAGGGATGTTTGTAATTAGACTTATTTTACTTCGAAATCAAATCAGTCCAGACTTAAATACTAGATCAGATTAGATCAGACCTTTCAGACCAGACCAAAAAGACAGTTATATAATACACAGAGATCATATATCTATTAGATTAGACCAAACTAGAAAATTTTGATCAACACAAAAACAACATGGTACATAAATTTAAGCATCATGCCCATCACCCAATATTTTTTTAGCAATTGCTCTAAATAGGACTAAAATTTTATCAAAGTGCATAAATATGATTTTATGTTTATAATTTCCTAATAGGACTTATTTGATCCTATTAGGAGAATAAAACATCATCAATTAGGTGTCCATGAGTCTTATTTTAGGAAGAAACATTGATGATCATATTTGTACACTTTATTAACATTTTAGTCTTATTTTAGGTTTACCAAGGCCTCCACTAAAAAAATGTGCTCAAGTGGCATCAATAGAACGTACCAATATATAAGTCCATATATAATTGGAAAAATTCTTATATGATAAGGCTAAAACATAAACATAGTCCATATATATTACTACCAAAATTTTCTTCCTAATACGTGCACTACATGTACACATATAGTGCACATTTTCCCTAAAATTTCCACTATCACTCCTGATAGGGGAAATTTAATACTTTTAATAAGATTAAATAAGTCTTATTTCGGAAAAAATTACATATGATTTTATTTTTTACATTTCATCATTCATAATCCAACTAAAAGATTTTGTCCTGTTTAGTGCAATTTCTAACAGAAAATTTGACTCATACTGGTTATACTTGAATCATGCAGAAATATAGGAAATTCCTGCGCCGCCAGAACAATGAAGAACTCGAAAGCAACTTTCCATCCAACAACTCCGACGGCTATCAACCTAGATCAGTTGCACCCAAGAGGGTCAGCACATTTGCCCAATTTGGTCAACTGTTCACTCGCCGTCAAGGAAAGCCTGCCGCCGCTGCCCCATGTTCTTCCTCCCAGTCTCTATCACTCTACTCGGCCAACAATGATGATATTTCTGGCGTGTCTTTGTCGGAGCAGGAAGAATCATTGTTCCACCGTGGTTTGACAAGAGACAGAGACTACCCCATCACCGAAAGCCCTGAACCATATTACCTGACGCCGGAAATAACCTTCGACGACGGTCCCAGTCTTACCTTCGGTGGAGATACTGATTACTCGCCGTGCTTCGGAAACGTGCAGCAGTTCTCCTCGTCACAGTTCGGTGAGAGCGAGATGATGCCATTCTCTCCGCCACCACCGCAGGCTTCTCTGATAATGGGCTTTTCTACTTTTGAGAATTGGGACCAAAATCATACTAAAACAGCGGCGTTTAACAGGGAGGTGTCTGCCGGAGAACACATTTCAGGGGCTAATCCAACCTATAATTACCTTTCTAATGATCAGGTATTATAAAAAAAACTAGCTATGTCCGCATATATTGATTGACAGAAATTTTTATGTTGGTCCTAGTTTTTCGATGGTGTATTTTTTCAGTGTACTTCGAAGGTGGAATGATCTTTAAATTGCAAATGTTGATTAGTTACGACATCAAATCTTCATGGAGTAAATTGACTTATTGCAAACCTCGATCACTAATAAAAATGTGACTTATATGCTCAATGTCCATACTATTTAATGACATGATTATATTCAATTTTATATTATAGTGATTATGAGCCCGTTTGGTAACCGTGTTTTTCAGTTTATTAGGATTATAGGCCAACTTTTTCACCAACACGGTAGTTTTGATTTCGCGCCCAGAAATTTGTAATAATAATAAAAAACAAGGTTGAAGTTACTTTTCTAGCAATATTGGCTGAAGATACGGTAGATGATCATTTTAGCTATTTTTCACATAACTTTTTCTTTATTTTGTTAATAAAAAAATTAAATATTATTTTTTTATAAATCGGCATAATCAGCTAATCCATCAAATTCAGTCAGAATTTCATAAATTTCAACAGAATCAGCCGATTCAGCCAATTTGAATTTTACCAAATAAGCTCTATATAATATACATATAATACTTGCAGTCTTAGTTTTGGACGTAGTATATAATTAAGAAAACCTCTTAACATATTTTTCGAAAACATACTGTGTGCTTTTATTTCATATGATCGAGAACTAAAAACTTGCGGCAAAATGTAGTCAATACGTAAAGGAATAAGATGCTATGAAAGTTAAAAACTGCTTATGTATGAAGAAGTTAATTTACTTCTTTAAGATGAAGTAGAATATGATTTATTTAATAATAATACTGAACATGTTTCTATATTTATGTCATGTATGAATGTATCTGTATTTGTGTCAGAATGAGAAAATAATTTACTCCTATTTAAATTGTGCAGCAAAGTGGCTATGAACATGCAATGATGAATTATAATGACTCTGATAGTGTTGGTTTTGGCCAGTCCTACGACCCTCATTGGTTTGGCCAATCTTTAATCCAGGTCGGTGCATATATATGACGTACATTTTATAATATTCTTTATACACAATCATCAACTATCATAAATATAGAGCCCGTTTGGAGAACTCTGTTTTCGGCTTATCAGGCTTATCAGCCAGCTTTTTCACCAAACACGTAACTTTTACTTTCGCGCGCTGAATTGTGTAATAAGCCGAAAAAGTAAGGTTGAAGTTACTTTTCTGGCTGTATTGGCTGAAGTTACTGTAGAGGACCATTTTAGCTATTTTTACATATAATTTTTTCTTTAATTTATTAATAAAATATATTTTTAAAATATTTTTTTCTTAAATCAGCAGAATCAGCCAAAACAGCCACTCCAGCCAGAATATCATAAATTTCAGCAGAATCAGCCAAAACAGCCGATTTTGGTGCTACCAAACGGGCTCATAGAGTAAAGGGTCAGTTTGCATTGGTCCTCGAACTTGCAAAAAAGGTGTCAAATAAGTCCTTATATAGAAGATTATGTCCGGACGTGCCATTTGAGGTGGCTCCCGGAGGAATTTTTTGATAAAACTTTTTGAGCATCCTATTCATTAAGTCTAGTTTACTCATACCAAATTTCAGCTAAACATTCAATCGGGAAGACATTCAAATGAATTCTTGAAGATAACTGCGCTTTCAACGGCACAATTATCTTCAAGAATTCATTTGAATGTCTTTCTGATTGAATTTTTATCTGAAATTTGATATGAGTAAACTAGACTTAATGAATAAGATGCTCAAAAAATTTCATCAAAAAATTCCACCGGGAGCCACCACAAATGGCACATCCAGACATAATCTTCTATATAAGGACTTATTTGACACCTTTTTTGCAACTTCGAGGACCAAACTGACCCTTATCCCCATAAATATATACTGAGTACAGTGAATTGAATATCTATCATAAAAATAAGTTTTTCCCATTTTTTATACTCCGTAACACACATTTGTTTACATAATATCTATCATTTTAATTAAAAAATAGGGTACCGTACCTACCATTCACTTGATTGTTCCAACTCATTATATCATTTTTAATTTAGATTTAAATAATTCTACAACATCATTCTGATTGGTCCATGTGGACGAATGTACGGTACCTTAAGGGTACCATAAAATCAACCTTTAATTAATATCTAGTGCTATATTATTCTTGAGTAGTGAGTCTATAGGAATATCAATTTTCCATTTATGGCAATTAATAAGTGCAGCGTTTAATCCGTCTTATCCTGTTCACATGTGCAATGTCATTGTACATGTTACTATGTTAGCCACCCCAAAATAGAAATAAGCAAATTATGAACCCTTATTTCATTTGTTTACATAATAAATGGCACCCTATGTCACTAATTATGGTTAACTAGGGACAAGCAAGGGAAGAAATGGCATTTGGAGCAGGGCAACTCCCATCTCAACAAAATTACAATCAGGACTACTACTCAACGACAACTTATCATCAGGTATATATGGAACGTCACGTGTTCCGTTTCGAAATATTTATGTTTTTCACAATCCTTGACTGATCACAAAGTTAACCTTTCCATGGATGATATATATTGATATTTATAAGTAAAATTGATATATTCTGAAATTGTGGGAGAAATTCTAGTAAATTGCAATAAAGAGAATCCGAAAATGAGAAAAAATTATTATATAAAATTAAAGAATAAAATAAATTCTTAATTGAGTATGTTAATAGTTTCTGGAAACATTTGTACCCCGTATAAGCGAAAATAAGTTTTTTCAATAGCATGTTATATTTAATGAGAAATGCTCTATGTCAATTGTAAGCGTCATTTTACACCGTAGGTGGGAGCCTTTGCGGCACTGGGGTAAATGAAAATGATGATGAGAGAAAATAATCGTTTTTCACACCGACAATTTTTTTCCCTTGACGAAGAGAAAAAAATGATCAAGCGGATGAGTATAAAATTTCAAATATTAATTATCTCGGGTCATACTTTTTTTGCAGCGTGAGATTGGAGATGACTTTGCACAGTCGATCTTTGGTTCAAGCATTTATGGAAATTGAGAAGGCATCTGATTTGACTTTGCTTCATTAAGATTGAAAATTTAATTTGTTGCGTCATTTCATTAACTTTGCCGAGGCAGTAATATTTTCTAGAAACTAGAACTGAATTGTTAGCTCCATGCACCAATGTTTGTGACTGTTGGGCTACTCAATTCTAATGTGATTCTATATATAGCATAACATTTTTGCATTTGTGGAACATTGTGTCATGCAACCATCCATTGAATACCTTAGTACTGCGCCATCTGGCCCATCTTAGGCATGGCCTCGGTTCGGGCCGCCCGGCCCGGGACCGGCCCGACCCGCTACTGTGCGGGCCCGGCCCGGCCCGGTTATCCGGGTCCGGGTCCGGTTCGGGCCGGAGGCCCGGGGGTGGGGCGGTTCCGGGCTCGGTTCATGGTTTTGACGGCCCGGCCCGGCCGGTTCGGGCCCGGGTCCGGGCCAAATCTATTTTTTTTTTAATTTTTTTCATTTGTTTTGGGCTGTTGGGCTTGGGCTATCTGTTTAGGCCGGTTTGGGGGGGTTTGGGGGGGGTGGGGGAAGAAAGGAAAAAAAAAAATTAAACCGGGTGGCCCGACCGGCCCGGCCCGGCCCGGCCCGGAACCGGACCCGGAACCGGTGGCCACCGGTTCGGGCTCGGGCCCAACAAAACAGACCCGAGGCCCGGCCGGGCCTAGGCCCGAACCGGGCCCGAACCGGCCCGGGTCCATCCATAGCCCATCTCCAACTCAGGACCGTCTCCAGAACATTTGGTGCCCTAGACAGAGGGGTGGAGACATGATACTGGGCCGATACAAAGAATATTTTGAAAAAAAAATTACACGGAAATTTTAACCTTAAAATTTTTGACACTTTTTAAATTTGGGGTGGAGTGCGGCCTAGGTTGGCCTCCCTCTAGCTCCACTCATGCCTAGACAAATGTATTAACGTAAATAGTCCTGATTTGAAACAAATATACGAAGTAATATTTAAAGAAACATTGTTCATATGAAAAATTGTATGACAAATAAAGATCAAATTTAAGATTAGATTTGATAAAAATTAAATTTAAGAAAATGTTTTGTAAAACAAGATTACAATAAAACAAAATTTGATAAATATATCTTCAAATTGATTAGATATTAAATGTCCACTATTACCTATTTGTACAGGCCGTGATACAAATTTTAGTTAACAAAAGTTTACTTTTTTATCCATCTATTATCCTATCATACGTCTATCATCTACAATATCGTTTTTTTAATTGCTTGGAACATTGTTTAATTGGATATACTCATATACGAATACCCAAAAGCTCATATTTTTTTTTTTTTTTTTTTTTGCAAAAAGGACATTTTATTGATATAAAATAAAAGTACAATGCGAAAAAGAAAGAAAAAATACATGAAAGAAAAGAGAAAAGTGCTAAATTAAAGGAAAAACAACACAAAAGGGGAAAAGAGCTAATCCCATGGATATGGGAAATCTCTGGATTGGGACCTAGTTGTCATGCTATGACGCCTTTTGTTCTTTTGAGATTTCCTGTAGATTTTTAGCTGTGTGTTCAAGTTCTCGGTCGGCAGGCAATTTTCCGCGGTTACGAAATTAGCCTTGTGGCAAATCGC